GACAATTTGCTTTGGCTCCCTAGGATTCAATTTCCTCATCTACAGAAGAAGATGTGAATTAGACAATCTCTGAGGTTCCCTTTAGCTCAAAATCCTGAGATCTGTGATGATTATAGTATATTACCTGAGCATAAATCAGCTAAGGATGGGGGAAGAGGGGAACGAGTGAGTGACAGCAACCACAGAGGATCACAAGCATCTATGTAACAGCCAGCATAAGTTTTAAATTGTATCCAAATAGGTAATGAGCCATTGTTGGAAAATTAGTAGCTTACCACAGATAAAGTTCTCTTTTTATATTCCAGGTCAGCTCTCAATAGCTAAAAGCAGCAATTCTCCAAGTACGGTCCACGGACTCCTGGGAGTCTGGAGACCCTTTCAAGGGTCCTCAAGACCAAAACTATTTTCAATACTAAGATGCTATTTGCTTTTTAAAATACTCATCCCTTTTCCATCTACATAGCTCTGTGAGACCAGATTTTCTTCAGGTACTTCAACCAAAACAACATATTGCAACAGATTGAATGTAGAAGCAGATATGAGAATCTAGTTGTCTTATATTAAGCCAGACATTAAAGACATTTGCAAAAGTATATAAAACAATGCCACTTTTCCCTCTCATTTTTTTTTGTTTGGAAAATATAATTTTATGTTAAAAATTATGTACTCATTTATGTTAACATGTAGTGTTTTTATTATTGTTATTTTAATGAATAATTTTTTTTTATCAGTTTTAATGTCTAATATGGCAAATATATCCCACATAAACAAAAGCTCTTTGGGATCCTCATTAATTTTTAAAAGTGTAAAAGGTTAATGAGACCAAAAAGATTAAGAACCACTAGCTAAGAGAGTTGATGGAGATAATTCTTAAGTCAAAAGGAAATAACAAGTCACATTTGGTTAATGGATATCTACCATACTTTTATAGTTCTCTTAACCTGCAGTCTCCCTATTCCCCAAGAATACAAAAATGGCAAAAGTTTGTGTATACTGTTCTTATCCTTGATTCTTAGGAGCTTTTGTGTATTGTATGCTTTGAGAAGTTTGCTGTCTTAATACAAAGCCATTGAGACAACATACCATTTTTAGTGTTTGCTCTGGTCTCCCAGCAATACAAGGCTTCTCCTCATAGAGCAGGTGCTTGGAGAGGCCACATGTTTCTAGTGGAGAGAGCATCATGCTTGAAGTCAAGAGAGCTGGGCTAAAGCCACACCTCTGACACTCTGAACTTGAACAAGTTAATCTCTCTGAACCTCAGTTTCTTCATCTCTCACGTGAGCTAATTATACCTGTACTATCTACCTTGAGAGACATCATAATGTGGTGAACAGAGAGAGTCTTGGAGTCAGAGAAACTTCCATTCAGGTTCCACTTCTGACATTCTAACTGTTTGACCCTGGACAAGTCACTTAACCGCTATGCTACAATCAATTCTTTAAGACTGGAAGTTGCAGAGCAGGTACTGATTAGCATTGTTAGTTCACAATATGTAAGACTCTTTTTTTTTTAGTTCAATGGAAGCTCCATATAGTTAAAAGATTTGAAGGAGAAAATTCTTAAATCAAAACAAAATTTAAAAATTATATTTGGCCAATGAATCTGCCACCCTAACGGACATGTGGGCTGAATACACACTGTACTTCTATAGTTTTTTTACCTGAGATCACTCTAGCCCCAAAGAATACAGATATGGTAAATGTTTGTACACAACCCTCACCAAACATTCCCTGCATTAAGAAGTCATAGAAACATATCTGTTGTGTGAAAGAAAATAGCAGATGTATGTGTTGTTGTTGAGTAGTACAGCAAGTTCCTCCACAAAATTCCTAACAGTTCTAGAAAACACACCAGACCAAATCCTGATGGGAAAATCCAAGAAAAAGTCACAGTGAGTCAGTTTTCCATTCCAGGTCAGCATAGGGAAACAGAGAGGTTTGCAGAGACTGGGAATGGAAATTGGCCAGGAGCATGGTTTTCTGGATTACTCCAGTGCCTAGGGAGGGGCTATATAAGCCAGAGTAAGAGGAAATCCCAGGTCCATACCAGGACTCATCTCATTCCTGAGACATAACTGGTGCCATCTGGCAACTTTGTCATCCACTGCCTAGTAACGGGTTACAGATGCAAGCTGCAAAGGTATGGCTCCAACCCAATAAGCAGAGCAGGGACTCAGTTTCACCTTGAATCCTCATCTTCAGCCTGAAGAGCAAGAACAAGGGCAGGAATTCTAGACCGGAGTGAAGCTTTCAGTTCTTTCATTTCGAAGCATCAGCCTTCTTAGCTGGTTGATAACGGCTGAGTATGGTTGCAAGTCAATTGTTGGCCAGACCTAATCCCAGGGCAAGAACCTGAAGAACTCAGACCAGGGACTCTAAGAAATTAAACTTTGCCCTGGATCAGACCACTTGGGGAGCACTAAAACTTTGCAGATTGCAGCCTGAACTGTTCCCAACATCCTGGAATAACAAAATACTCTAAACCCCCAAGAAAGCTGGAATTAGACTGACCAAACCTTCCCTTTAGAAGTTTGTAGAGCCCAGCCCTAACATCAAATCCAAAGTCATGAAGTAGGCTGGAAGAATAAACAAATAAAAAAAGAATCCCACCCACCATAAAAAGCTATTATCACAGCAGAGATGCCCAAGATACAAACCCAGAAGAAGAAAATTATTCCAAAACACCTAGAGACAAAGCCTCCAAGAAAATCATACCTGGGAGCATTAATTCAATTAGAATTCCTGGGAGAGATGACTCAAGAGTTTTTCTTTTTAAAGAGCTTAAAATGTTTTAATAAATTAAATAGAAATATTAAAGGAAAAAAATTGGAAAAGAAATGAGAACTATGGAAGAAAGATTAAAAAAGGGAATTAACAGCATGACGCAGGAAATACAAAATCTTCCCCAGCAAACTCTCTGAAAATTAGAATGTACCAAAAGGAAGAAAATGATTCTATGAGGCAACAAGAAATATTAAAACAAAGTCAGAAGACTGAAAAAGAAGAAAATGTAAGACATGGCAAAAACAAATGACCTGGAAAACAGATTAAGGGAAAAAAATTAAGAATCACTGGACTACCTGAACACAAAAACTCCCAGAAAAAATTGCTTAAATCCAGAGCTTCCAGGTTAAAGAAAAAAAAATGCAAGCAGTCAGAAAGAAAGAACTCAAGTACCAAGAAGCCACAGTCAGAATCACACAATTTAAACTACCACCATAAAGGAGCTGGGAATTTGCAATACAATTTTGCAGAAGGATATATCTTTCTCAGTTTACAGCCAAGACTAATTTATTCAGAAAAAAAAAAGTAAAATCCTACAGGTGAAAAAAAAATGAAACCTTTAATGAAATAAAGGACTTCTAAGCATTCCTAATTTAAAAAAATACCAGAACTGTGTAGAAATTCTGAAGTACAGACATAGGAGTTAAGTGAAACATAAACAGGTAAATATGAATAACAATCTAAAGGACTAAACAAGGATAAACTGTTCACATTCAAATATGGTGAGATGATATATGTGTCACCTCTGAAACCAATCAAAAATTGGGGTCATAAAGTCTAATTAAACAAGGCCTTGAAATAGTTCTGTTGTTTCTTGATGATCTTAGAAAAAGAACAGAGAAGGGAAGATGAATACAATAGAAGGGTACAGGATAGAAAGGTTGGGGAAAATTATCTCATAATCATGTGTGAGTAGATATCATAAAGAATGTGCAAGTAGCTATCTATACAAACAAGGGGAAAGGGGTAGAGGTAATAGTTGACACTTAAACCTCACTTTCAAGGGAGAATACACACATACACATGCATACAGTTGGGGATAGAAATATGTATTTACTCAACAAGAAAATCAAACAGAAAGGAGACAAAGGGAAATTAAATTAAGACAGGATAATTTAAGGGAGAGATTAGAGATTAGTCCTAAACAAAACACATTCTAACTAAGGATGTATAGAGATATTTATAGCTCTTTTTTGAGGTGACAAAGAATGAGAATCTGAGGGCATGCCCAACAATTGGGGAGTGGATGAACAAGTTATGGCATGTAAATGTGATGGAATACTATTGTGCTGAAAGAAATGATGAATGGGATGACTTCAAAGAAACCTGGAAAGACCAATATGAACTGATGCAAAATGAAGTGAACAGAGACAAGAGAATAACTTATATGATGATAACAATATGATAAAGAATTTGAAAGAATTAGGGACTTTGATCACCACGACGACCAACCAGGATTCCAGAGTACTAAGGATTAAACATGCTACCCACCACCTCCTGACCAAGAGGTGAAAGGCTGAGTGCAGAATGAGGTATATTTTTTTTTTGGAAATGGCCAATTAATAACAGGGATTTTGTATTTCTTTTGTTCTCAATAATGGGGGAGAGGAGAAAAGGAAGATTTTTGCTTATATAAAAATATAATTTTTTCAAAATAATAAGAATTCTAATAATCTTCACCAAACTTTCCTGCCTGGATGCTTGGTAATAGTGGAGTGGAATGCCATGTGAATTAGTGCAGCCCACTTCATTGGAAATCTGCAAAAAAGCTGAATGGCCACTTCTTTGTTGTAATATTGCTCTTGTTATTTAGTCATTTCAGTCACATCTGACTCTTTGTGACCAAGTTTGGGGTTTTCTTGGCAGAGATACTAGAATGGTTTGTCATTTCCTTCTCCAGATCGTTTTATGGATGAAGAAACTGAGGCAAATAAGATTAAGTGATTTGCCCAGGGTCACATAGCTAGTAAGTGCTTGAGACCAAATTTGAAGTCATGAGAATGAGTCTTTCTTATTCCAAGCCCAGGGCTCTATCCACCTGTACCTCCTAGCTGCCCTCTATGTTGTTAATAGAGAATCTTTTTTTAAGCACTGGTTGGCTACATTGAGGTCTCTTCCAAATCTAAAATTCTGTGATTCTGTGACAGGTAAGTTAATTTGAGGAAGAGAAGAGTTAAGGAATTATCTTTTTTTTCTGACACTTAACTCCATACTTACAATTCCACATAATGTCAACATGCCTGGATTTTCCAGGTTAGGTAAGCTTCAGTCTTCTTTAAATGTTCAGAAGTTGGAGAAGCGGGGGAGGCTGACAAATGCTGCTTATTAACATAGGTCTTGAGATCAGCACTCTTAACATTTCTGGGACCTAAAAAAAAATCATTGGTAGATAATGAAAAAGTACAGTTCTGAAAGGATCTGTCTTAAGAGACTGGAACTGTTGTTACACTCCTCTGCAGGTCCAATTAAAGTCTGTCCATGAGACCAAGTGACTGAGTGGTCAAGCTATCAGTTCATTGTCACAATTCTAGAAGTTTCAAATCTCATCTACCCTTTTCCTGTTCTCAGGGTAGGTAGTTGTTTCCTGAGCATTTTCAGAAATCAATATTGTTCATAAATGAAGAGATCAAAACAGCTATACAGAAACAGAAGAAAAGAAGCAAGGAAATAAAACAGAGTATAATGAAAGTACTATCATTTTGTAAAGCTCCAAATATCTGGGAAAGAACCTCACTTGGAAAAATAACACAGTGTATAGGGTACCAGATTTGGAATCAGAAAGTCCTAAATTCAAATTCTGACTCAGCCATTTACTAGCTGTGTGACCCTGGGTAAATTTAACCTCTCTCAGACTCAGTTTCCTCATCTGTAAAATAGAGATAATAATAGCACCTGTCTTACAAGGTTTTAAGGATAAATGATATAATGGATATAAAGTGATTTATGAACCTTAAAGTACTCCTGCTCAAGAAGTTTTAGGGGTCCCTATTGTCTCTCTTCTGTTTTGCATTTGAAGCCCTTCACAGTTTGGCTCCAAACTCTTTCTTCAGGCTTCTTTTACATGACTCCCCATCACATACCATATGTTCTGACCAAATGGACCTACCTGCTACTCTATATTTAGTATTCCATATCTTACCTTCATGCCTTTATCTAAGCTGTCCTCCATGTCCTCAATGCTTTGCCTCCTCACCTCTACTTGCTGAAATCCCTAGCTCCCTTCAAGGTTCAATTCAAACCCTATTAGATGACATCTTTCGTGACTTCACCAAATCATTCATGTTTCCCCCTTTCCTTAAAATTCATGGTTTTTTTATTTACTTATCTGTAAACATAGTGTTTTCTCCCAGTAAAATCCTTTGTGAGCATGAAATATTTTTATTTTTGTCTTTGGAACTCTAGTGCCTAGAAAAGTGCATGGGGCATAGTAGGTGCTTCATAAATGCTGGTTAAGTAATTATTGAACACCTATTGTGTGCCCAGTATATGGGAAATACAAAGGTAGCATAAAGCATGAAGTAATTTATACTCTTTCTGGGAAGACCAAAATTATATCACCTTCTGGTACAAATTGAACCAGATGAGCACTAATGTCCATTTCAATGCTATAATTCTATTATTCAATGAACCAAGAATCACTGATGCTATCCCCAGATGCTCCTGCAGAGCCTCAGGATTGAGTCAGCCCAGTTGACTCATTTTCACGTTTATGATAATGAACTAGTCTGCCCATTGTATTGACAACATCAAAAGCAGTTGCACTCTACTCCATCCTAGTCAGACCAACTCTGGAATGTATTGTCTGTTGAGCACATTTAGGAAACATATCAATAAGCTTGAAAATGCCCAGAGGAAGACCATAAGGATGATGAAGGGCCTGGAAGAATAGCTGAAGGAACTGGGGATATATCATCTGGAGAAGAGAAGACTAATTAAGACATGGCAGCTGTCTTTTAGCATTTGAGAGGCTGTCACATGAAAGCAAGATTATATTTGTTCTACTTGGCCCCAAATCTAGGAGCAAGACAAATTTAGGACTAATTTAAAGGAAAACTTTCTAACAGGATAGAACTTCCAAAAGTAGAATGAACTGCCTCAGGATGTGGTTGGCTTCTCATTATTGGAGAAGGGAACAAACATTTATTAAGTGCTTACTATGTTCCAGGTCCAGTTCTAAGCACTCTACAAATATTATTCATTTGATCCTGAGAGGTAGGTGTTATTATTTTACAGCTGAGGAAACTGAGGAAAACAAAAGGGTAGTGACTTGACTAGCATCATACTAGTCAAGCTGGTAAGTGTCTGAAGCTGGACTTGCACCCAAGTCTTGTTGACTACAGGCTCCATCCTCTATCCACTGTCCCTCCTAGCTAGAGATCTTCAAACAATGGCTGGATCTCATTAGAAGTCTTGTAGAGGGGATTCTTGCTTGGGCATGAGTTGGACTAAATAAAAACTGAAGCTTCTTCTGTTTCTGAAATTCTATAATCTGTGGTAGGACTACCTGAGCACCCCCATGGTCAGGGAGGAGAGACAGGTTGCCCTGTATTGCCTACCTACGTACCTCCCCCTCCTATTCTCCACAGGACTCTCTCCTGTAGGTCAGGCAGCTCTCAGAATGGAAAGCCAGCTTTTCACAAGTAGCAGCTGTCCACAGTATGGTTGCCAGATGGGTACATCATTGCAGCTAAATTGAGAATAGCTTTAAGTGGATTGCCTGGGCATATGAAGTATATAGAGACTGTAGTATCAAGTACCATTGATACTCACAGCCTTCCTCACCATCACCATTCCTCACACTCATGTACCTCCACACCTTCAGCCTTTCTCAGCATGCCCTCGTGTCCACCCCACACCAAAGCCACACAGCTCTAGCCCTCGAAAACAGAGAGAGAAAGACAGAGAGGCAGTGACAGAGAGAGAGAGAGAGAGAGAGAGAGAGAGAGAAAGAGAAAGCAACAGAAAAGAGACAGGGAGAGAGAGGGAGAGAGAGGGAGAGAGAGAGAGAGAGAGAGAGAGAGAGAGAGAGAGAGAGAGAGAGAGAGAGAGAGAGAGAGAGAGAGAGCCTTCCCTGACACCACTAACACACACAGCCTTTCTCCTGGAAAATAATGTGGTCCAGCAGAAGCCCTGGCTCTAAGGCCATTAGATCTCCTCTGATGCTTACTACCTGTGTGACCTTGGACAAACCACTTTTCATCTGTAAAATGAAGTGGTTGTATTAAATAGCCTCTGAAGTACGTTTTAGCTAGGTGGTACAGCAGAGTACTGAACCTGTAGTGGGGAAGATGTGAATTCAAATCCAGCTTCTGACACTGACTAGCTTTGTATGATCCTAGGCAAATCACTTAACTTCTATTCATCTCAGCTTCCTCATATCTAAAAGAGAAATATTAATAATACCTACCTCTCAGGGTTCTTATGAGATAATATTTGTGAAGTGCTTTGCAAACCTTAAAGTGTGATATAAATGATAGCTATTGTTATTATTTCAGCTCTAGATCCAGGATTCTATGATTCCCCAGCCATTAAAATATACATAGCTTTCTCTGCCACAACTAACTCCCTCTTTCCTGCCACTTCGGACAAAGCATACACACAAAGCTTTCTCTACTCCCACATACCCATACAACCTCTTCTACTGCCACTAATACATTTAACCTACCTTCCTCACCAGTGCCAACCAAGAACACAGCACCTTTTGCACCATCACTACTACATATATGTAGTCTTACAGTTACTAAAGTCACCAACTTTGTCCTTATATCACCTTACAATGACCTACCTGCTCATCAAAGAAAATGTTGCCAGCTACGCAGGCTAGCACTCCACATAGAGTCTCCTTGAAAATCTAATTTGTGATAGTACATCACTGGAGCATACACTTTATAGCAGGGTTTTAAATGCCATTCTGTTCTGCATGGAGGCTATCCAGAATGTTATCATTTCCCCCGTGTGCAGTGTAATTGGTATTATTCCATAATTGTGCTATTCACTAATTGATCACCATCTTGAGCCATATGTATTTTGCCTTAATGATTATAAATTCATCCTAGCCATTTTCTTCCCTTTTGGAATTGAAATAAGTGAGGAGAAAACATAAGCTCTTAGCTCCACCATCTGGAAACATGAGGCTGTCAGGCAAAAGAGGATACAGTTTCTCGCTCATTAGATGCAGAAGCAACAGTGATGTTAGGGGAGGGGCAACCAAGGAAAATCATTTAACCACAATCTTGCAGTTTGTTATTTGGAAAATTCAAAGGAGTTAAAGCCATGGTTTTTATATACTGCTGAATACAGCATTGACCTTGGGACACTGAAGCCAATATCAAACCATTAATCCCACTCATCATTGAGGATGTTCTCAATCTTGGCTGTGGTCTTCTTTTATAACTGTTTTCTCATCAGAATAAGTGACCCCACCTAGGACTGGAGTAGTTGTATGTCTTCTCAAGTAAGAGACAAAAATAATAATAATAATAATAAAGCATCCAAACAGCCACATCTCTTTATTTCCCAATTAATTTTGCAAATAATAACATGGCATGGTTAGTGACTAGACAGTCTAACTCCAGCTATTTCTGGTTTTTAAATAATTTCCTTCACAGTTTTTTTCTGTCAGTCCGATAACTTCTAAAATAGATACAGAACAAAAAAAAAAGCTGTATCTTTCCTTGGTAGTTGTTTCCAAAAGTACCAAGACGTGGTAAAAGCTCAGAGAAATGGGCCTTAATTAAAAGGTGTTAAGAGAGAAATGCAAAGTGAGGGAGATGCCCATTGAAAAATTCAGTAAGACCAGTGAATATTCTGTGATAAAGTGGATTACTTGGAGAGAAGAGCTGAAGAAGGTGCCACATTTACCATTAGTTTACTTTGAAGCACAAGTGTGTTCCCTCAGCATGATCCCTTGATCCCATCACCTAATCTCCTCGAGAATCTTGTCCCTTCAATGGTCCTCTCTTTCTTCTAATTTTTAACCTCTCCTTATCCATTTTCTCCTTCCTTATTGCCCATCAACGTGTCCCAATTTCCTTAAATTCATCCTTTAAAAAAAAGTCATTTGATCCTACCATCCCCTCAAACTACTATACTATATAATCCTCTCTTTTATAATCAAACACCAAGAAGCCATCTACACTTGTTCTCTCCACTTTCTCACCTCCCATTCATTTTTAACCCTTGCAATCTGGCTTCCATTTGTGTGGGACAGCGACCCCAACCCAAATTAAACTCAGAGACTTACGGTGGAAAGCAAAGGTTACCTTTATTACAATCTCCCGAGATGGCTGTCCGCTCCTCCGATACACGTGGAGAGGGGGAGGAGGAGGGAGAGCGGGAGGAGGAGGGAGAGGAGGAGGGAGAGGGAGAGGGAGAGGGGGAGGGAGAGGGAGAGGGAAAACCGAGTAACAGGGGCCGCCTTATAAAAGCAATTCTCCGCCCACCACGCAAAGTCTCCACCCACTACGCAAACAAGTCTCCACCCACCACTATCCCTTACCTGCTCAACTGGGGGTGGGCTTACATTCTAACTGGGAGGTGGAGCTTACATTCTAGGCGCGAAATTCAAAGACAAGGAAAGAGGCCTGACGCCAAGGGCAAACGGCTCAGGTTGGGGATGAGGCAGGGCTTATTCTTTCTGTTAAGTGCTTAAAAACAAGGTCTGAGTGCGGGAGGATTTTGAAAGTAATAATCAAGAATTATTTTACCCTTTTAGGAGCCTTCACTTCTGAGAGTTCATTTCTCACACTACCTTCTGAACTCATTGCCTTAATTACACTGAGAAGTCTTCACTGGGACAACCCATTCACATTCCTATTACTCAAGACACTTTTTTCTGAGGTCACCAATGATCCCTTCATAGCTAATGCAATGACCTTATCTCAGCAACATTCTTGACCTCTTTGCAGCATTTAACATTGGTAGACTACCACTCTTTATGTATAGTTTCCTCCCTAGAGAAGAAGATATCCTCCCTGATGTCCTGGTTTTCAGGACGTCAATCTATCATGGTTATTTTCAAATCTGTTGAAGCCATTGTCAGTTTCCTTTACAGTTTGATAATTCATGCCCCACCCTTATTTTGTGGGTGTACTCCTAGGACTCTGTCTCAGCGCCCCTCTTATTCTCTCTATATATTTATTCTCTGTGATGTCATCAGCTTCCATGGATTCATCTATCATCCCTATATGCAGATAACTCCAAGAGCTATATATCTAACCATCACCATTCACCTGAGCTACAATACTGCATGACCAGCTGCCTATTTTACACTGCCACTTGGAAGTTCATAGATACCTGAAACTCAACACATCCAAAGTAAATTCATTATTTCCTCCCCCCAAAATCATCCTCCTTCCTAAGTACAATCAATCAAACAAGCATTTAATAAGCAGCGACAATGTTCCAGGAGATAGACAAAAGGAACTCGCCTTCTACAGAGAGGGGTAAGATGTACATATTCAGAGAGAGAGAGAGAGAGAGAGAGAGAGAGAGAGAGGGTGAGAGAGAGAGAGAGAGAGAGGGAGAGAGAGAGAGAGAGAGATTAAAGATATGCAAATTAGGCACAAGGTAACTTTGCAAAGTCACTAGCAGCAGAGGGGACCAGAAAAGGTTTGCTATACAAAACTTCTCGTGAGCTGAGTCTCAAAAGAAACCAGGAATTCCAAAGGCAGAGGTGAGGAGGGAGAGCATTCTAGGCATTAGGACAGCCCTAGCAAAGGAATAGAAAAGGAAAACGAAGGAAAGTATATAAGGAACAAATAGAACAATAGAGATAGACTTTAAAGTACACAGAGAGGAATAACATATAAGAATACTGGAAAGACAGGTGGGGCCAAGTTGTGAATGTTTAAATGCCAGAGGAATGCATATTTGATCCTAGAGATAAAAGTAAACTACTAGAATTTATTATATAGAGAGACCATGGTCAGATCTTCTATTACGAAAAATTACTTTGGCAGCTATGTAGGGGCTAGGTTGGAGTGGAGAGGGATTTGAGGCAAGGAAACCAATTAAGAAGCTATTGCAATAGTCCAGGTGAGAGGTGATGAGGGGCTGAACAGCGGTGGTGGTAAAACTAAAGTGAAGATACCCCAAAAGAAATAAAGTTTGAGTACAGAATGTAGATGTGGAGTAAGAGTGAGGAATGAAGGATGACATCTAAGTTGTGAACCTGAGCGACTGGGAGTCGTGTGTGTTTGGTTTGGTTTTTATATAGTGGCATAATCCCATCTGCTGGAGAAGCTGAGTCTGGGATCTCTTGAGTCTGAGAGTTCTGAACTTTGTCTCAGGAGGAGCAACCCAGGCCAGGTTAAAAACGGAGGTCAAAGCTCCCATGCTGATCTGAGTGGGACCCGGCCTATAAGCAGCCCCTGTACTTCTAGTTTGGATAAAATAAAGAGACTTGATCTTTTTTTTAAACTACTTAGTGCTCAGGGATTTTGTGGTTCCCCATTACCTTTACAACAAAATTCAAACTTTTTTTTTGTACTCAAAGCCTTTCACAATATGATTCCAACCTGTTTTCTAGGCTGATTAATTATTGTTCTCCTTCATATACACTACGTTCCAGCCAAGCTAGTCCATGCTTTTGCTCAGGCCATCCCCAAACCTGGAATTCTCTCCTTCCAGTAGTCATCCCTTGTGATCCCTAGTTCCCTGCAAGGCTTAATTCAAAAGCAACCTTCAAATGAAAATAACAATGTATTCATTTTGTATGTATTCTTTATTTACTTCTCTGTAAACACATTGTCTCTTTCTCTATCTAGTACAGTGTAACCTTCTTGAGGTCAGGGATGGTCTCACTTGCTTTAATATTTATATCCCAGCATCTACCACAGTACCTGAGGAATAATAGATACTTGTTGGTTCATTGATTGCTTGATTGATTGATTGATTGAAAATGATTTGGTCAAAAGATAAGAGACAAAATCCTCTTCCCTCTTCAAACTCTTTCTCTTCTCTCAGCATCTCCACACACATTTACTGCTGAAAAGATTGACAAGTTTTATAATTATTATTTATTTCTAGAAGACAGTAAAGAATAGATCATAGAAATTTAAAAAAAATATAAGAATCAGTGTTTCTCTTTTGAAATTTTGATCAGGAAAAAAAAAATGTGTCAAACAACCAGAATGCATCTGATTAGGTTGGTTTTTATTATGTTCCCATGAAGTTTTCTTCTGATACCTAAAAAAAAATGTGTCAAACAACCAGAATGCATCTGATTAGGTTGGTTTTTATTATGTTCCCATGAAGTTTTCTTCTGATACCTCACTATTGGGTGGGAATGATCCCGGATAGCATTTTTGCATGTTATGCCAGAGAAGCACAAACCTGGCAGGCTCTACCAAGCTGGAAAAGCTTCAGGTGCAATTCTAGGAACAGTCTGTTTCTCTATTGTGTGAGAACCAGGCTCACTAAAACCAGAGACTCATCACCATGCTTAGTCCCTATATAATGAATGTTTTTCAACCACAGCAAACTTATAAAAAGCCAGCATTATTTGGTACCAAAAGACCCAGGCTTATATCTGGGTTTTACCACTTATTATAAGTATAAATGCAAACAAATTACTTAAAATCCCTGGGTGTCAATTAGCTAAAAAATGAGGGGGTTGGACAAGATGACATCTCACTTCCTTCCAGCTCTAGATCCAGAAATCTGTGCGTAAATCATCTCTAAGGTCCCTTCCAGGGCCACATCTATGATTCTATGATCTGGGAAGGTGTAGAAGAGAATGTGATTTGCTACTGTCCCTTAAAGATCATAGAAGTTGATCTGGGAGAGACCCCAGAAGCCATGTAGTCCTACTGCCACACTTCACAAATGATGAAACGAGGCCAGTATGTTATATGTTCCCATGTGAAGGTAAGGTAAAAAAGATCGTTGATCTTTCACTAGGAAAATTACACTAAAAATTCGATTCCTTGAGTATTCATTAAATGCTTACTAAGGAGAAGAAGGCATTCTGCTAAGTGTTGTTATAGAAAAGCAAAACCAAAATTAGTCCTGTCCTCAAGTAGCTTACATTCTATCAGAAGGAATAAACCATGTACACAGATAAGCCAACATAAAGTGTGAGAGAGGGATGGGACCTCTGATTTCATTGCTGTAAGGAGCACCCAAATTCCTCTACCAATGTAGGTCAGCACCTTCTCTGCAATTTATAGTCTTAGAGAATTACCAGACTAGACTACCAAGACATAAAATGACCTTCCCAGGGCCACACAACCAGTTTGCAACAGAGGCAGGGCTTGAACCTGACCAATTCTCTACTCACTATGCCATTCCGGTGTTTATGTACGAAGTAATTTCTTGGGGAGTTCAGGTAGAATTTGCTGCCTGAGCTATACTGTAAAAGAAGATAAGGATTCTGAGAGAATAAATATATTTTGGGTGAATATTCACAACTTCCAGGGTGATTTATGTGGAATTTCAGATCAATTTCATGAATTTAAAATATTAAATGTTATGACTTCATCATATATACCTCTCTGGCGGTGAGGTATAAAGAATGCTGGCTGACACAGAAACCACTTTGAGAATCTAACTGACTATGAGGTACAGGGTCAAAAGTGTGTAAGACATAGAAATTTTCTTCTGTCTATGCAAACTTAGTTTATGGTGTTACATTGACACTAATGGATAGGATTTTACAGTGAATTATATAATATGTGAGCACAGAATATTTAAAATGAAATACCAGACTCAACTCAGAATTAGCCTATCAGCTGGATGAAAACATGGAAACAGGTGACTTAATATTCTGAACAAGAGAGATCATAAACAGTAGCTCACTCTTCTCTAGCAGGAGCAGGAAAAAGAAGAAAGAATCACAGCTCCCCAAAGAGTTAGGCCTCCCAACTGCTTTTTTTCATTGAGCTTCCAAACAGGTCCTAACTCAAGGTCTGGAACTATAGGATCATAGACTTAGAGATGGAAAGGACCTTTTGTCTCACAGTTGAGGAAATTGAGGCAATGAGGTATTATCTGAATTGCCTGAGGTCACCAGTGACAGAGACAAGACTCTAACCCAGATCCTTGGGTTCTCTACTCTGACACTTGCCAAAGAAATCAAAAACATGGATTGAAGAATCCATACTTACTGAGCTCTAGAAAAAAAAAAGAGGCAATAAGGCTCATAGCAAGGGAATAGTCAAGATGAATAAACTTGAGACAAGAAACAATGAATGTAGCACTTTGTCAATGGAATTTGATGGATGATTGTGCGAAATGCTGTCACACAGGAGGCAGGAATAAGAGAGTTATCTTTACAAAAGAATGGAGCCTTTTTCCTCAAGGTTTTCATAATACAGTTTCATCAGCTTTGGTTTTAATTAAATA